CCCTTTGCTCCTAGTAGCGAACATTGCTCCTAGTAGTATGGCCAGGAGCGCCTAGTAGCGTCCTTGTTCCTAGTAGCGATGCCTTTTGCTCCTAGTAGCAAACATTGTTACTATAGCAAGAATGCTCCTAGTAGTAATGCCCTTTGTTACTAGTAGCGATGAACTTGTTACTAGTAGCTTCTTGTTACTAGTAAGGCCAGGAGCCCCTAGTAGCGATGCACTTGTTAGGGATGCCGGTTCATTCAGGTTCGCTAACATGAAGCCCCTGAGTTAGCGAACGCCACACTGAACTACTTGTTGTCTCTGAACTGGCAGTAGCCACGGGCCGTTCCACTTGGCAGCTGTGAGCGCTACAGGAATGGTGCCGTTCCCTCCTTTGAGTCCAAGTGCCGGTGCAATGAACTTGGCGTCGGCCGCCTCGGCCGTGCAAGGCTGTGGAAGCCAGACTTGGATGGGGTCAGGGTCGTTGCCGCACCCGGACATACTTAGGTGAAGTCTTGGCTCTTTTGTGGGCCGCTCAACACTACTTGTCGTTCAATCAGGTCCGTGCCTTGCTGACTAAGGTTTTATGCTGCTTGAAAGTTTGTGCTTTCTTGCTTGTTTGGAACCGACGGCTGCTGGCGCTTGTGCTGTGCAGCCGATTCTGTGCGCTGTCTGCTTTGAGCCATGCGCACCGCAAAAGCCTACTATACTGGTAGGAGTACGAGTACGAATACCAGTACGAGTACGACTACTACTACTACTACTACTAATCCGAGGTGGCCATTGTGGTTTCTTGCCTTCCAGTGCCCCTTCGCTCGACATCCGGCTGTTGGGTTCGGGGACTGGTTGAGCCAACGGTTTCCTGGCTCTTGCCCTCAGCAAAAAGCCGGCTTTTACCTTGTTTGTCAGCCGTCAGCCTTTCTTGCGCCCAGGTACAGGCCTTCCAATGTTGGTTAAGCTTGTCCTCCTTGACACTGAACTTTAGAAGACCATGGCTGAGGTCGCAAGCTTCCAGTAGGCCCCATGCTCGGGGCCGCCACAAGACAAGACCTTCCACTCTGTAGGACAGGGGTTCCTTACCTGGCGGGGAAACACTGTGACAGAAGGGAACACAACAACCGACCATTCTACTTGGATGCCATCTCAGCGTTGGCAGGCACTTCCACCAGTAACTCCCTATGCATGAGGTGTGACGAAAGGTCAAGGAGTCAAGGATGCTGCTGCCAAAAACACAATGTACATATACATATATACAAACATATATACATATATTACTATTGTAGTTTTAATTTTCGAATTGTCTTTCCATTTCTCCGAGTCTCTCACTTCTCGTCCAACTCTGAAGAGACCTTGGTAAACTACTCACGAGAAACGCTCCCTTTTTTGCAAACCCCTAAAATGAGGCAAACTAGTTTGCTTATTTGTTGCCTTTTCGCTGGACTTTTTTATTTTTGATCGTCCTTTTTCTGCATTCTGTTCACGAGAAAACGCAGTCGCTAAGCGAGCACTTGCGAGCAGCTTTTTGCTTTGCGCATGCTTCGGGAATGAGTGTGGACAAACAGTGTGGAGAGAGTGTTGCGAACGGGGTTTCCACAACAAAAGACAAATTCGTGACTTGTGTGAAAGGAGGAGTTTGAGGAGCAATGTCACTTATTAACACCTGACTGCTTCCAATGCAACTGATGAGCCAGAGTCCACACCAATTGACGCAACGACATTGCCCATGGCCGGAAACTGAAGCTTTCTGCTTTCCACTGCACGACTGGGTAATGCGGTATTTGACATTACTGTAGCTTCTTGTTACTAGTAGTGATGCACTTGTTTCTACTAGCTTCTTGTTACTACTAGTAAGGCACATGTTACTAGTATGCTGCGACAAAAACATATCTGTCGACTCTGTGAAAGTCGCTTTCCACTCTATTTCTTCCTCTCCTTTCTGACTTTCAAAGTGTAAGCTTCTTGGGACCTCTATTTCAAACAGGGTACCTTTTTGAGTGCTCAAAGGACTTCACTTTTGGTGAACTCTTGCAAAAACACCTGTAGAATCTTTTTGCTTTTGAAAGGACCTCACTGTGGAACCTCTTTGCTGGGTCAAACGCATTTCTGCACAAGTTCCCAAAGGAATGGACGCCATGCCTAAGGATCCCATTTCGGAAATGGAACGTTGTCCGATTCTTCATTCCGCGTTGAACTTGTAGTGCTTCGGCGCAAGTCATAGATGTTTGACAGGCATGACAAAAGAATTGTCATCAAACTCATAGAACATGGTCATAGTTTCACTATATCCACTTGATGGAGCTGCTTCTCAGTCTCTTTATTGCTGGCTGATGGTTGCAGCGGGAGAGTGAAACGTGAAACTAAATGCCGAACTCAGCCACCACAGCCTTAGTAACAAGAAGCTACTAGGGGCTCCTGGCATCGCTACTAGGAGCAAAGGACGCTACTAGTAACAACACAAATGAAAACAACACTGTCGCCCCGTGGTCCACCCCCCTCCCCCTCGCCTTCCAATCCAATGTGCCAGGTTCAGGAGCCACACCATCAGATCTGACACGAAAACAAAACCTACTAGCCTCCAACCTACGGCCACAACCTGACAAGTTGGACAATTGGCAACAATTGGCAACTGCACTACGACAAACGGTCGCTCGTCCAACTGCGTTTGACCAAACTGTGCCCAACTGTGCAGTCTGCTCTCGACATCTCGGTGAGTTGAAGAGTTCAATTGAGGCCATGGAGGCCATCGTGAGCTATCCTGCGTCCATACTAGTAGCTTAAGTAAGGTACTAGCTACCTAGCTACTTGCTACCTACCTCCACTCGCAGCCTACCTACCCCGGGTTTTTCAAAATACAATTGAGAACTTCTTGCGATGAAGTACTTCAAGTAGAGAACTTCGTTCTCTTTACTGCGACGAAGCGTTGCGACGTGAACTGTTCCAGCCTGGTGGAAGGCCGGCCATTTCCTCGCGTCTTTCTCCTGCGTTTCTTCTTTGGGGCCTGGTGAGACATCAAAAACATGAAGAATTTGCAAATGAATCATGTTGTTTTGATGAACAATTATCTGCTATTTTGCACATTTTTTCACACTGTTTACTTGCACCAACCTCTTGCTCTTCGTCATTCACCTTGCTTCGGTGACGTCACCCTTTTCGGCAACACGTTCTTTCAACGAACATGTTTTTGTTCTTATTTTGCCGCAGATATTTTGAGTTCAATGCGGCAAATGACTGAGATGGAGTGGAACTGGAGGCCTCGAACATCACAACAATTTGAAGAAACATGGTTGGAGTCTTCGAAACCACAGATATTTCGGACGTTTCAATGTAGTGCGATATGCTGCCCCTCATGTGCAATTTATGTTTTTCCTTGTCTGGAGCTGGAGTTGCTTCTCCTCGACGATCCTCACAAAGCAACTCTTGGCTCATCTTTTTGACTTGTCAAAACTTTGCAAACGACGGAAACACAAACTTTTCATCTTTCCATTTTCCACATCTCCTCCTCGTCAAAGACGTGGACGCACGGGATCTCACTTAATCCGTTCAACGACTGAGCCGCCGAAGGAATCGAGAGATCCTCGCCCTCAGCGGCGGCCTCCGAAGCACCTCCGCAACATGACAGCCCTCCCTTTGCGGTGAAGCTGCACACCGGGAAAAAACAAACTCACTCAGAGTGAAGCACCCAAATCTTCCTGTAGCCAGAGCGTGGTAGCATGTGGTAGCAATTTTGGTTCGATATGGTTCAATGGTTGCAGCGTTGTTCTTCTTTGGCTTCCAGAGTGATGATCAAAGGTTTGAGACAAAGTTGAAATGTGCGAGATCGTTGTTTCGAGTGAAATCATTTACAATACACCAGTGTTTACATGTATACATACGCGCAACCACAGGTCTTTTTCCACGCGTTGCAGCTATTGTGTCTGAGAACAGTAAGCGTCGGATCGAAACTAAGAGGCCCCGACCCCCCAGGGCTGCGACTGCAACCGCCAAACCTGCGCCCCTGGAAAGCGGTAACTCCCCTCAGGTTCCCCAACCCCAACAGGTACGAAGGGGCTTTCACTGACCTGCACCCTTTCTTTCACGCAAGACGAAGAATCTTTTCCAACCTTTCCACGTCAGGTCCCAGGCTCAAGGATTGGGAGCTGCTGGTAACGATGGATATACGACCGCAAGCGCGAATTACGGTCTGTGATCTCGGACAGTTGGACTAGGCCGTTTTTGAACCGAAAGACGGTCAAAACTGCCGTAGTGCTGTAAAAGTAAAAGGTTGCACCGCCTCTCCGACACAAGTACGGTCCATAGGAAAGTTCATGATCCATCCAAAGTATGGTTGAACATACGGCGCCAGGCATGTGGCTTACTGGTCAAACGCGCAGCGTCAAACGCTCTCTGAAGCCTTGCCGGGCACCTGACTAGGTCATCCTGAGGGATGTGACGGTGAATGTCTTTGAAGGCAAAAATCTAAATTTCTTGAGAAAAATGAAACTCTCAAGGACAACCCGAACTCAGGAACTGTGGTTCATCACTTTCCACTTTCCACCCACAAAGAGCATCCAGAAGTGGCAAAGTCATAGGTGGAGCTCTATTAGATTTAACGGTGCTACATGCCTTCACCAAGTGCCAGTTTTCGGTGGCTTCTGGCGGAGGTTCGGGTAATGGTCTTGCAGAGCCGCTAGCGTATTGTTAGCTGTTCCAAACCAACCCAAGGTAGTCCCAACCAAGTTGTCAGTGTGTGCCATCTTGGTTAGGAGGCCAGTGGGTCTTCAAGTTTCTCTCGTTGCTTGTGAAGTGAAGGTGCTTGCGTTGCTGCTTACTGCGTGCCTCGATTACCTTCTTCGAGCCTTTGGTAGGTTCTTCTTCGCAGGCCAGCGCGATGGTTTGTTGGCTGGGTTCTGATGGGCGTCAATGTAGCCCCAGGCCCCATCAAGGCCGCTTGCAAGCAACAACGCACTTCCTCTATAGACTTCGATGCTGCTCTGCCCATAGCGGCTGACTTTGACATGGCCTTCATAATTTAAAGCGTCGGCAAGTTCGATCAAGCCCAGGCCTTTCAATCCTCCTGCGCTCAATTTTGACTAGTAGGGGGGCTTGGTGACAGGCCACGCCTCAACTGCAGTTGTGGCGCACGCGCAGGTCATGTCCCCAAAGTCATTACCAACGTCGCGCCTTTGGTCATCTTCACAACTCCATTGTTGGCCCCTCTAATCCGAGGGTGAGCCCTTCAGGTGCTTTGGGAGGGAGGTTGCTTCTTTCCTGCTTGGCCTCTCGGGACGTCCTCCGCTTCCTCTTGTGTCCCTTCTTGCGATGTCTCTTCTTCCTCCTCCGGTCAGCTCTGAGATGTACTGGGAGACGATCTGGATGCCTTCTTCTTCTTCTTCTTCTTCCCTTTGGGCCTCTCCTCAACTTCCTCTGTAGCAGGCCTCAGGTCCGCTGCGGCTTTTTGACGTCAACTTTGGATTCTGGCTTGGGCTTTGGTGTGGTAGCTAAGACTTGTGGCTCTCTTTTGTCCTGCGGATGTGATTTTCTCCCGGAAGTTCTTGGCGCTCGGCGCTCGACCAGACTGAAAAGAACATGTCCCTGCAACACTCCTACGGCACTAATTTCCTGACGAAGGTGCTGTACTATCTCTCTCTCTCTCTCTCTCTGTCTCTCTCTCTCTCTGTTGTCTCTTCTTGGGGCTGTCGAGGCCAGGGCTTTCCTCTTCTTCTTCCTCCTCTCGAACCCTTTGAAAGGCCTCCTCAAGAGCCTGGGTGGCAAAATCCTTCTCCGCCACGGCAAATGATGCAGCATTCTGAAGTCCGTAGCTCCACAAGGAACTTCCGGCACTTGCAGCAGTGATTGGGAAGCCGGGTCTTCTACACCTTATCCCTTGAAGCCCCAATGCTGCGGTGGAAACATCAACCTGTGCTGTGTTAAATTATGGAAGCATTGGAATTGAACCATACATGTTTCGACGCAACTCCTATTGGATCTATACACTGGTTTGTTGAAGCCAGTTTGGTTTCCGACAGGCCTTGGGTTGAATGGGATAGGTCGGTCGATGCCGCGAATCTTGGTGGTGGGCACTTTGTAGAGGTAGAACTCCGAACATAGTTTTGAGTAGTGCAGCAACTTTATATTACGGAAGCCTCTCAAATTGACACCACATAACATCACATTCTCTGCACATAGACAGCCCCTTACTCGGGAAACAACCAAATAATACCCATGTACAACATTTCCTTCGACCGCATCGCCCCTTAAAAGGCATGCAACCGATGCAACCGTGTTTTTTGGGGTGTCAAAAAGACAGCGTGCTCCGCTCGTAGTATCTACAGTAGAAACAAAGACACATGGGTGTTGACAGGGCTGCAGTTTTTGTGTATCAACAACAACAACAACAACAACAACAACAACAACAACAACAACACCCACACCCACAGCAGCAGCATGGTATATGGCTTCTGTTGCTTTCAGTGTTTCTTTCGCTCTGTGTTTCTTACAGTATGTGAGAATGGGCGTCTATCACAAAGCTTTGAGGAACCAACTCTGAAACTTCGACTCCCCATGATCGAACACCCCCAATACGTCTTGGCAACATGTTGGTTTTGTCAATACTAGCGTGGCACTTGTTACTACTAGCTTCTTGTTACTACTAGTAAGGCACCTGTTACTAGTAGCGATGCACTTGTTACTAGTAGCTGAAGACAAACACTCGATTTGTTTTCGGGATTGGGCCTTCTGCCAACCTTGCATCTTTCTCAGGCGTCTCCTGCAGAGATTTACATCTGCATCTGTCTGCGGC